GATGCTTACCTTTTTCCCAAGGAGCACATGTGCTCCTAAGTTGAAAAATTTAGGAGCATATTAAAAGAATTTAGGGTCGCAATGCAAATTTTTCTAATTATAATTTACACGCATTATCATTATCACATAGATGTGTTTTAGCTTAATAAGGGGATATAAGGAGACATTTACAAACACAATTATTTAATTTATCAGAATACAGAAAGTACACAAGGTTTTTAAATAATTTTGCTTCAGACTCTATTTAATGGCTAATTATGTAATTATTTATAGTTCTATTAAATTGTACATTAGGTATGTGACAGTATCAAATTTTCACAATAGTCATTGAAGCTTTTATCACGGTATATGGTTTTATCACAATTTATAATTTAGTAAGTAAAAAAACAGTGTTGTCCTCCTAACAGGTTAAATAACTTTATTAAAGATCTTTTACTAAAGAAAGACTTTTTTTTTTTTAAATACACAAAAATATAAAGTAAACAAGTGTTACAAGATTAGAGTGCAAAAGATTAAAGTTCAAATGAATGAAAGAACAATAGGCAACACTTTACAATAAGGTCCCATTAGTTAACTTTAAAGCAGGTTAACATTAACTAACAATGTGCAATAGCTAATTGTTGCAGTAGTTAATATTATTTGTTAATGTTGGTTCTAAAAATACAACTATTTATTGTTAGTTCATGTTAGCTCCATTAAATAATATTAGCAGACAACTTTTGATTTTATAATGAATTATTAAAAGTTGAAATTAACATGAACTAAGATTAATAAATGCAGTTATTGTTATTTCATGTTAACTCATGTAGTTGACTAATGTTAATGGAACCTGTTAAGTGATACAAACAATAATAACGAATCAGTCAATATATAGGTAGGCCATGTTTTTGGATAGATTAAAACAAAATAAATAGCTTATTAAGTCCTAATATTTGGCATGACATTTCAAAATGTCTCACTTTCAACATTTGATATGTTATCTATATTCTATTGTGAATAAAATATAAGTTTATGAGATTTGTAAATTATTCCATTCCTTTTTTACTCACAATTTGTACAGTGTCCCAACTTTTTTGGAATTGGGTTTGTATAAATTATGGTGAGCTGTGGTGAAGACTAAAGCGAATATAAATATCTAAATGACTGTTTGAAACATTTACACACAGAAAGTAGTGCAGCTGCTTTGTTTACAGGGTTACCGGGGTAACGGCTGCATTTCTTCCTCCGTCAGCGCCCCCTAGTGCGCGCTTTCATTCAGCACATCTCCTTCACTCTTTCCACCTTCTCATCTGTGCCATTTCATCATCACCTTTTTAAAGTTCAATAATCATATGAGGCTGTATCGTTTTTCCCATAAATTAATTTCTTCCCTGAAGAAATTAATACATTTTATCTCGGCTGGAGGGACAGGCTTGATTGTATCCTTCACCAGTAAGACAGCAATCTCGTCACGCAGGACAGGGGCATCTCGGGCTGCCACCGAAGTCTCGAGAATGCCGCTGGACCTGGGAGGTCGCCTGGCAAACTGAATCGCGTAGCAGAGTCGAACTGTCCGAATGAGCCAGCGGGACGGGTTGGGCAGTGCAAGTCATGCCCCCAAGCTCCGTACGAACAGAAAAAACACAAAACACAGGATTCTCCGCCCGGCCCTCCTCTGGGGGAAGGAGTGGTGTTGTCCTCGCCATCTCCTGAGAAAGAGCAGCTTCCCACATCTCCGAGTTGCCCGTGTCAGGGCCGCTTCGTCGTCTTTCTAGAGGGCTTAGGGGCCGGCTGGGACACAGGGGGTGCTGCGGTATTGCGAGAGGCTCGACGCACCGGCCTTAACGCTGTCTCAGCATGGGGCGGAGGTGCTTTAGAGGACACAGGGGGGCACCCTTGGATGACGGGCAGACTGAGGCGGGGCCCGTGATGGATTGGTGCCAGACAGAAGATCACGTCGGGGCAGGATGTGCTGGATCACCTCAGTCTGTTTCTGTACTGCCGAGAACTGCTGGGCAAAGTCCTCGACAGTGTCGACGAACAGGCCAACCTGCGAGATGGGAGCGTCAAGAAAACGAATTTTGTCAATGTCTCTCATCTCAGCAAGGCTGAGACAGAGATGGCGCTCTTGGGCCACTAACGTGGACATCGCCTTCCCGAGGGACCGCTCCGTGACTCAGTCAGTCGCCGAACGCAGCTCCTGCATCAACCCCGGGTCGGTACTATCCTCGTGCATTTGTTTTAGTGCCTTGGCTTGGTGGACCTGCAGGATAATCATGCCATGCAGGGCAGAGGCGGCTTGGCCCGCAGCACTGTAAGCTTTGGCGGCGAGAGCTGTCGTCAGCTTACAGGCTTTGGACGGGAGTTATGTGGGCTCAGGAGCACCACAACCGCTCTCTCCACCTGGAGAATGTCAATGTACACCCTAGACGCCCCGTCTTCAAAACGGGGCCGTCCATGACTTCGTCAGCTATAAAAAATGAATAAATACCCAAAATAGGATGGATTGGCCATTATTGAGCACTATTAACACATTTAATGCCTGTTTCATTCATACTGGACGCCAGAGGGCACCCTCGCGCAGAAACTCCACATGTGCATCACAGAAGGAATAGGACTCAGGCATAGTAGTTGATGTCAAACAACTACAACCTTTGCATATACGCAAATATACAGCTTGTAACACTTCAAAGAGAAAGGAAAACTTGAAATCGCATCATATGACCCCTTTAATAATTTTGTGTAAAAAAAGACCAAAATGTAACTATGGAATATTGTGCATGAGTTGAATGGGCTTCTTTTATGCTGCTTTTTGTCATTTCTGAAACTTGACAGCTCAGACAGTCCCTATTCACTTTCATAACATTGAAAAGAGCTTTGCATTGCTATCGCTGTAACTGAGTAAACAGAACATATAAACGTTTTGAATGATAAAACAAAGACAATAAACACTCGACTGCGACAATGTATAATTTATCTGTGTTATTCAAGCCATCTTTGGTATTTACATCATAATTAAGTATATTTATAATCCATTGCTAATCGACATAGTCTTTTTACCATATGCTTTTTACAGTATAGAACATATTTTCTGCCTCATTCTGTGACAAGAAGCCACATCAGATCATAAAAGGAAGCAGTTGTGGAGTAAAAACGTTATAGTGTTCTCTTTTGTTGGACAACAGGTTTAGAAACCCTTCTCATTGCTGTCATTACAAGAGAAGTTTAGCTTTAGGCATTTTTATTTAAGAATGTTTAGCTTAGCTAGCTAACGGTCTAGATGGCTGGTTGGAGCACTTACATACTGCATAAATTGCATAAAAGGATGTGCTGTATTCTTGTTGCAGCAAAAGAGTTATTTAAAGTTTTTAATTTTTAAGCATTAATTTCAATATTCTAATTTATTGTTTTGTCCATTACATTTATAAATAACACATCCAGTTCAGTGGTGCAGACATTTGTAGCTAACTTTCCATTCCCTGAGTATCAGCATTTGCTACCGCCACAGTAACGCTATAGAACGCAAACATGCAATGGTTTACCAAGCATTTGCCTCTATGTTTGCATATTTGTTCACAGTCGACCTATGTTTCTGGCCTTACAAAGAAATATGAAAATTCTGGCCTCAAATACAACAGGTTTTCTAAAGTCTAATATTATAGTTAACAAACTGCTGTGCCAGGAGAAGGTCCTCATGCATCTTTGATGAATATGGATTTAATAACAGACAACGGGCGCAGAGTGTTTATAAAGAGTGCAACCTGAACAATAAAACACAGTCAACAACTAATTTTCTATGCAATATAATCGTCAATCATCTGAGAGCAAAAGCAGGGATAGAGCGGTCATCCCTGTTCCATAGGGCCATGGAGAGGCATGGCTGGCTGAGCTGTCTGACTGTGTTCACAGACGCGTACTGCCTCAGACGCCATGAACTGTCACTAGGGAACAGGCACAGCAAAACATTATTTCAGAGAGATCAATGATTGCTGGTGACACCATAAAAATCCCACCAAGTCAAATGTGCCAAAAGTCAATATTTGTCCGAACACAAGTCCCCCGTTTTCCCCTCTCCCCACCTCAAGTCAAGTCACCTTTATTTATACAGCGCTTTTAACCATACAGATTGTGTCAAAGCAGCTTTACAGTATCAAAATAGGAAAATAGTGTCAATGCAAAAGGACATCAGTAAACACTCAATTTTCAGTTAAAGGCAGTTCATCATTGAATTCAGTGATGTCATCGTCCAGCTCAGTTCAGTTTAAATGGTATCTGTGCAATCAAGTCGACGATATCGCTGGAAATTAAGTGTCCCCAACTAAGCAAGCCAGAGGCAACAGCGGCAAGGAACCAAAACTCAACTCCATCGGTGACAGAATGGAGAAAAAAACCTTGGGAGAAACCAGGCTCAGTCGGGGGGCCAGTTCTCCTCCCTCCACTTTCTGATAGTTCTGCTATCTGTATCGGTTCAAAAGAAAGGCTACATTTCATTTGACTAATGGATTTCAGCCGTTTAAGGCAATGAATAGGTAAATTATCTTAGCAGAAGTGTTGGGGATTAAAAATAGTAGTGCTACTAGCTCAGCTTTTCAAACTACTACCGTTCAAAAGTTTGGGTTTGGGAAGATTTTATTTTTAATAATTTTAATCAGGAAGGATGCACTAAAATTTGATCAAAAGTGACAGTAAAACTGTTTACAACATCACAAAAGATTTGCATTCTTAATAAACGCTGTTCTTTTGACATTTTTCTATTCAAAGAATTCTGACAAAAAAGTTTCACCATTTCCACAAAAATAATAGGCTGCAAAACCAGTTTTCAACATTGATCATTATCATCCAACACTGAATACTGTATTAATGGCTGCTAAAAATTCAGCTTTGCTTGTCAAAAGAATAAATTACATTTAAAATATATATACAGGGGCGGTTTCTCCATTAGGGCGATTGGGCGACGCACAACCAAAGCGTGAACGCTTTTAAACGTGCCTCTAAATAGTCCAATCAGCGTCGAGTCGCGTTTTGTGTAGTACTGCCCCTTTTTGGGCGATTTCTGTCAGACTGAGAATCGCCCCGAGTGCTCTCATAGACTTCCATACAAAGATAATTTTTTTCGAACTGCAGGCACTGCAGTGCAATCTCTAGGAGTTCCGGGAGGGCAAGCACTAACGTGCTTTCATCATCATGCGTAACCTTAACTTGTGCAAAGATTGGTGGGAACAGTGACATCCAATAATATTTAAAAACTATTTTGAATTTTAACAACAAGAAAAAAATGTAAAACTACTTTAATATCTTTATCAAATGTGAAAAAAGAAAGAAAAAAAACAGAGAGAGACGGGGACAGCTACGCCAACTCAAATTCAGTTGTCAGTTGAACTTGATCGACATCTTGGCGAACGTTACCTCAGCGCAGATGAATTCTATCGTGTCATTGAAAGAAATACCATTCAGTCATCATAGCAATAAGGATAAATTTGCAATTAAAGAATTAGGACCACCAAGACCAAATTTAAAAATTAAACATGTATCAACAAAGGGCGGGAAGTCGTATAAACGGGGATTTTCGAGGACGTGGCATGAGCGGAAAAAATGGCTAGCGGGCTGCGAAGTAACTAACGCTTTATTCTGCTACCCCTGCATTTTGTTCCATCCCGAGAGCGTGACGGACATCGCATGGACAACTACAGGTGTAATGTAATACAAGTGAGCAATGTGATGTAAGTAAGCAGTGTAATGTAAGGGAGCAATGTAATATAAGTGAGTAATGTGATGTAAGTGAGCAGTGCAATGTAAGGGAGCAGTGTAAGTTAATGTAAGGGAGCAATGTAATATAAGTGAGTAATGTGAT